CACCCACTGGGAGCCGGGCCCTGACAGCCCACCCCTGGGACCGGCCCCCGACAACCCCCCCACTGGGGAGCCGGGCCCTGACAGCCCCCCACGGGGGGGCCGGGGGCCCCCCCGGCCCACCCAGGGGAGCCCCGGGCCCCGACACCCAACAGAGAGTGGTTTAAGCATTGTTGTGGGCTTAGACCCTCACATTTTCATGGGGGAAAAAAAAAATTTTTTACCACCAAATTTTGAAAATTCTCCCCCCTTAAAAAATTTAGAGAGGGCCTTAAATTTTCATCATAGGTACCTCAACATGACAGACAAATTGAGATTTTTTTTTTCCGAAAAACACATTTTAGGATTTTTTTTGAATTTTTTTGCAAATTATGGGGGAAAATAAGTATTTGGTTTCCTACAAAAAAGCAAGATTTCGGCTCTCACAGATGTAACTTTTCTTTTAAAAGGGTCCTCTGTCCTCCCCGTTCCTGTTAAAGGCCCTTTTGAATTGATCGTAAAAAGACACCTGTCCCCAACCCAAAGTCAACTCCAAAATCCAGGTAGTGTGTGTAAGTCGTACGTTATCATGTGTGTGTATGCTGTGTCTGTTTTGTTTTTTTTGTTTACAGTCCCCGCGTTCCTAGGGGGATTTTGTTGTTTTTTAAATCTGATTTTTCTGCTTGCATCAGTTTTCTTTATGTAATAAATTCCATTTTGTCAGGCTCTATGTATATGTGAAATTTCCCTTTGTTCTGGACTTGGGGACTGTGAAGAGACCTTGGGGCATTCGTGGTGTAGCATGGGGTCTGAGCTATTGCTAGTCGTTTTTAAACAGACAGCTCGGTGCTTTCAACAGTCAAACCTCTCACAAATTTTAAATAGGGATGAAGTCAATTCTCCTCCACTTTTAGCCCGGAGAGATTTAATGCATTTTATAAAGTTTGCTCTCTGGTACATCAAGGGGCCGCCTGTTGCCCTGTTTAAATCAATTTTTAACACATGCCCGATACAAAAAGGGTAGACCTTACAGTGAAATCTTTTTAACAAGCCCTTAACCAACAATGCAGTTTTTTTGAAAAATAAATGTTAATAAAAAATGATAAGTTAAAAATAAAAAACAAAAAATAAAGTAAAAAAACAGTTACGGCTATAAAGGAATACTGGGACAGAGGGCTATATACAGGGATATCAGGGGGGGGACCCGGGACAGAGCAAAATACAGGCTATATACAGGGGGGGGTAGGTTTTCAGATAAATGGTTCCGGGGGGGGGGCGGTACGAGGTATTGGGGGGGGGTCCCAAAAATTTACTGGTGTAGGTAAGAGTTTTTTTTTTAAAGGTGAAAATGCAAGAAATAAAAGAGGGGAGCAGCACTAAAGAGGGGGGTGGGGGTGGGGGGAGAAATGCAAAAAGTCGGGGGCCCTTTGATTAGCTGTTCAAGTCTTTGGCTTGGGGGGTAGAAGTGTTAAAAGAAAAAGGGGGTTTAAATTTTTTTGGACCCCCCCTAAAAAAAACCTTTTTTGGCGGGGTCTTTTGGGACCCGCCACCCACTAGAATCACTACTCTCGACGGGTCTGACCTAGAGTATGTGGACAACTACAAATACCTAGGTGTCTGGTTAGACTGTAAACTCTCCTTCCAGACTCACATTAAGCATCTCCAATCCAAAGTAAATCTAGAATCGGTTTCCTATTTCGCCTCCTTCACTCATGCTGCCAAACATGCCCTCGTAAAACGGACTATCCTACCGATCCTTGACTTCGGCGATGTCATTTACAAAATAGCCTCCAACACTCTACTCAGCAAATTGGATGTAGTCTATCACAGTGCCATCCGTTTTGTCTCCAAAGCCCCATATACTACCCACCACTGTGACCTGTACGCTCTTGTTGGCTGGTCCTCACTACATATCGTTGCCAAACCCACTGGCTCCAGGCCATCTATAAATCACTTCTAGGCAAATCCCCGCCTTATCTTTGCTCATTGGTCACCATAGCAACACCCACCCATAGTATGCGCTCCAGCAGGTATATCTCACTGGTCATCCCCCAAAGCCAACACCTCCTTTGGCCGCCATTCCTTCCAGTTCTCTGCTGCCAATGACTGGAACAAATTGCAAAAATCTCTGAAGCTGGAGACTCTTATCTCCCTCACTAACTTTAAGCATCAGATGTCAGAGCACCTTACCGATCACTGCACCTGTACACAGCTCATCTGAAATTAGCCCGCCCAACTACCTCATCCCTATATTGTTATTTATTTTGCTCTTTTGCACCCCAGTATCTCTATTTGCACATCATCTATCATTCCAGTGTTAATACTAATTGTAATTATTTTGCACTATAGCCTATTTATTGCCTTACCCTCCATAACTTGCTACATTTGCACACACTGTATATATATATTTTCTGTTGTATTTTTGACTTTATGTTTTGTTTTACCCCATATGTAACTCTGTGTTGTTTGTTTTTATCGCACTGCTTTGCTTTATCTTGGCCAGGTCGCAGTTGTAAATGAGAACTTGTTCTCAACTGGCTTACCTGGTTAAATAAAGGTTAATATATATATATTTTTTAAATCTCTAGTAACCCATTATACACAGAATCCTCCTTTACCCTAGTGTTTCTATTCATACAGGGGTTTAAATATTTACACTAGTGTTCTCTTTTACAGCATATTTGGGAATAGTACTTTCTCCTTTCATGTCTCACATACAGAATCCCTATATAACGTTATAAATCAACATAAATGCCTACAGACAATTGTCAGTGGGGCTTAGATATTCACATCCACACCACTCCATGTGCATCTTCAACGATTCCTAAATGCCTAAAATAACAATAACACCTCGTGCTATTATCAGTGGTTCAGACCACGTAGACTTTTCTGTTGTTACATCCTATGCATCTTCAACAGTTCTTGCCGCTACTTCCTATACATATAATAATAATATAATAATAATATGCCATTTAGCAGACGCTTTTATCCAAAGCGACTTACAGTCATGCGTGCATACATTTTTGTGTATGGGTGGTCCCGGGGATCGAACCCACTACCTTGGCGTTACAAGCGCCGTGCTCTACCAGCTGAGCTACAGAGGACCACATATAAAACACCCCGTGCTCAATAACACCTCGTAGTCCCAGATTACGATGGCCGGTGGTGGACGGAACCCCTAGATAACGTTATAGATTGACACACTCAGCTCACACAGAACTGGTTTGGTATTCATTCAGACACGCACTCTCTCACCTTTCACACCGAAACTAGTCCCCTGACAGCTCTCATTCACTCCTTACTTAATAGTAATAATAATACTTATCTAAATTTCAATCCTCTTATTATCCAAATTTCAATCAGCTTATTGTCCAAATTTTAGTCGTCTTTTCCACACTCACACAACTCTCACATCCATTCACGGTACTAAACTATTCCCAAACAGTACAGACCACGTAGACTTTTCTATTCCCAAACTCAGTAATCTGCCTTTTACTCTCTGTGCATCTTCAACGATTCTCTTGTCGTTACTTCCTTTTGTATTTTGATTTGTTGAACACTTTTTGGTTACTACATGATTCCATATGTGTTATTTCATAGTTTTGATGTCTTCACTATTATTCTACAATGTAGAAAATAGTAAAATTAAAGAAAAAACCCTTGAATGAGTAGGTGTTCTAAAACTTGTAGGTGACCAAATACTTATTTTCCACCATAATTAGCAAATAAATTCATTAAAAATCCTACAATGTGATTTTCTGGATTTTTTTTTCTCATTTTGTCTGTCATAGTTGACGTGTACCTATGATGAATATTACAGGCCTCTCTCATCTTTTTAAGTGGGAGAACTTGCACAATTGGTGGCTGACTAAATACTTTTTTTCCCCACTGTATTGGTAGATGGGTAAAAATAAAAGCAGACATTGAATATCCCTTTGAATATGGTGAAGTTATTAGTTACACTTTGGATGGTGTATCAATACACCCAGTCACTACAAAGATACAGGCGTCCTTCCTAACTCAGTTGCCGGAGAGGAAGGAAACCGCTCAGGGATTTCATCATTAGGCCAATGGTGACTTTAAAACCGTTACAGAGTTTAATGGCTGTGATAGGAGAAAACTGAGGATGGATCAACAACATTGTAGTTACTCCACAATACTAACCTAATTGATAGAGTGAAAAGAAGGAAGCCTGTACAGAATAAAAAATATTCCAAAAAATGCAACAAGGCACTAAAGGAATACTGCATGAAATGTGGGAAAGCAATTAACTTTTAGTCCTGAATACAAAGTGTTATGTTTGGGGCAAATCCAATATAACACATTACTGAGTACAACTCTCCATATTTTCAAGCACAGTGGTGGCTGCATCATGTTATGGGTATGCTTGTAATCATTAAGGACTACGGAGTTTTTCAGGATAAAAAAAAAACGGAATGGAGCTACGCACAGGCAGAATCCCAGAGGAAAACCTGGTCAGTCTGCTTTCCAACAGACACTGGGAGATTAATTCACCTTTCAACAGGACAATAACCTAAAACAGAAACCAAATATACACTGGAGTTGCTCACCAAGACGACATTGAATGTTCCTGAGTGGCCTAGATACAGTTTTGACTTAAATCGGCTTGAAAATCTACGGCAAGACTTGAAAATGGCTGTCTAGCAATGATCAACAACTAACTTGACAGAGCTTGAAGAATAAAAAAAAAAGTGTGCAAATATTGTACAATCCAGGTGTGGAAAGCTCTTAGAGACTTACCCAGAAAGACTCACAGCTGTAATCGCTGCCAAAGGTGATTCTAAGATGTATTGACTCAGGGGGTTGAATAGTGTTTTATTACAGAGTATTTTGTGTAGATCGTTGATAGAAAATGACAATTAAATCTATTTTAATCCCACTTTGTAAAAGTCAAGGGAAGTGAATACTTTCTGAAGGCACAATACATGATGTAACTGAAGCCAGTCCTCTGTCCCAGGCCTAACCCTAACCTCTGACCCCTAACTGACCTCTGTCCCAGTAGGCGTGTCACCCAGCTGATCTGCTGCCGTAGAGAGTTCCAGAACACTCCAGAGGAGGACGACGAGACCTCAACCACCCGCCCTGATCTCCACCCCGATCTCCACCCTGATCTCCACCCCGATCTCCACCCCGACCTCCACCCCGACCTCCACCCCGACCTCCACCTCCACCGTGACCCCCCCCAGCTCCATGGCTGGCTCCCCCCTCAGCATTCGGAGGGCTATGGGGGACCTGGCAGGGCCCAGCTACACCCTGTATCAGCCTCCTGTAGGCCTCCCAGCCGGGTACAGCCAGCCTACCCCGTTCCCCAGTCAGGCTTATGGCTCCTGGCTTCACCCCAGCTACACCAGCGTCTGGTCTGGCCCTGGACCTGCTTACCCCAGCAGCCTGCCCTCCTGCCTCACCCCCCCAGACTACCCCAGCTACCCAGGGGAGAGCTGCTACTCCCAGGGAAGGTCCCTGTCCCTCCCCCCCCTACCGGGCCGATACAGCCCTAGTATGAGCAGCCTGGAGCAGCCCCAGTCCCTTCACTCCATCCCACCCTCAGCAGGCCTCTACCACAACACTCTGACCCCAAACTACTGCTGCACCCAGTGCCCTGTGGAGGGCGTCAACATTGGCCCCTACCACAGCCCCCGGCCCGTCGCTGGTTACCGCCTACCCTACAGGCCCATGTGTGAGTACTAGTCTGCGTCCCAAATAGCACCATATTCCCTTTATAGTGCACTACTTTAGACCAGGGTGGCACCATATTCCCTTTATAGTGCACTACTTTAGACCAGAGCAAAGTGAATAGGGTGCCATTTGGGAAGCAGACCTAACTGTTGTCTAATGAGAAGAAGCTGGGAAAGGGTTAATAATGACTTCTAATTCTGTTCAGTGGCTTATTTGTAGTTATTTTAGTCGACAACACAATACTATGGTGGACAAAGTTGTAATGGTTTTATGTTACTGACGAGGCTCATTCGTATCCCTGACATAAAGCCTGTTGTATCTAATCTGATGAGGCTCATTCGTATCCCTGACATAAAGCCTGTTGTATCTAATCTGACGAGGCTCATTCGTATCCCTGACATAAAGCCTGTTGTATCTAATCTGACAAGGCTCATTCGTATCCCTGACATAAAGCCTGTTGTATCTAATCTGACAAGGCTCATTCGTATCCCTGACATAAAGCCTGTTGTATCTAATCTGATGAGGCTCATTCATATCCCTGACATAAAGTCTGTTGTATCTAATCTGACAAGGCTCATTCGTATCCCTGACATAAAGCCTGTTGTATCTAATCTGACGAGGCTCATTCATATCCCTGACATAAAGCCTGTTGTATCTAATCTGACGAGGCTCATTCGTATCCCTGACATAAAGCCTGTTGTATCTAATCTGACAAGGCTCATTCGTATCCCTGACATAAAGCCTGTTGTATCTAATCTGACAAGGCTCATTCGTATCCCTGACATAAAGCCTGTTGTATCTAATCTGATGAGGCTCATTCATATCCCTGACATAAAGTCTGTTGTATCTAATCTGACAAGGCTCATTCGTATCCCTGACATAAAGTCTGTTGTATCTAATCTGACGAGGCTCATTCATATCCCTGACATAAAGCCTGTTGTATCTAATCTGACGAGGCTCATTCGTATCCCTGACATAAAGCCTGTTGTATCTAATCTGACGAGGCTCATTCGTATCCCTGACATAAAGCCTGTGTATCTAATCTGACAAGGCTCATTCGTATCCTGACATAAAGCCTGTTGTATCTAATCTGACAAGGCTCATTCGTATCCCTGACATAAAGCCTGTTGTATCTAATCTGACGAGGCTCATTCGTATCCCTGACATAAAGCCTGTTGTATCTAATCTGACAAGGCTCATTCGTATCCCTGACATAAAGCCTGTTGTATCTAATCTGACAAGGCTCATTCGTATCCCTGACATAAAGCCTGTTGTATCTAATCTGATGAGGCTCATTCATATCGCTGACATAAATCTTGTTGCATCTAATCTGGCATGTCATGGCAAGGCAGTTTAATTACCAGATTAAATGCTAAAATTATTCAATTTTATTTGAGTAGGGACAGATGCAATAACATTGACACAATGCAATTTACAACAGTAAAATGCATTGCAACATAACACGTTATCTTGCACAAATGTACAGTCCTCAGATAGAAAGACAGCAACATGACAATCCAGAAAATAAACTGAACAAATTAAATAAATACACATAGTGAGTGTACATAACATTATTAACACATTCATTCTGGTTACCACACCTTAACTAACTAAGCTGACATTTCTATAGCGTCCATGCCTATGGATAAATAACTATTAGGGTCCTTGTCTTAGGTATCCTCATTTGGCGACCCTACTTCAATAGGGTGTTGCTTAATGCACTCGTATAAATTGCAGATTACTTACACTGAGTGTATAAAACATTAAGAATACCTTCCTAATATTGAGTTTTGCCCTCAGAACAGCCTCAATTCGTCGGGGCATGGGGACTCTACAAGGTGTCGAAAGCGTTCCGCAGGGATGCTGGCCCATGTTGACTCCAATGCTTCCCACAGTTGTGTCAAGTTGCCTGGATGTTCTTTCAAAACTAAACTAATTATGTTTCCTTAGCACATGGCAGTGATGGTGCCTTATCGGTGATGGTGCCTTATCAGTGATGGTGCCTTATCGGTGATGGTGCCTTATCGGTGATGGTGCCTTATCAGTGATGGTGCCTTATCAGTGATGGTGCCTTATCAGCTTTTTGTCTGGAATTATCAGAGCTCTGTTTTAGAGTGATGCTATAGATTTGTTTACTGTGAGTTTCACCTGAGTCCATATTGTCATGAAGTAGGATATTTGTGAAATTATTGTGTGTAAAAACAAAAGTGCAGTATCAACGGGTAAACAGAGTCTAATTAACTTATAACAGCATGTTTATCAAACAGTCTAATTAACTTATAACAGCATGTTTATCAAACAGTCTAATTAACTTATAACAGCATGTTTATCAAACAGAGTCTAATTAACTTATAACAGCATGTTTATCAAACAGTCTAATTAACTTATAACAGCATGTTTATCAAACATAGTCTAATTAACTTATAACAGCATGTTTATCAAACAGTCTAATTAACTTATAACAGCATGTTTATCAAACAGAGTCTAAAATGCTTCCAAGATATTTAACATCAGGAACCTGCTGCAAGTCTAAAATGATTCCAACATATTTAACATCAGGAACCTGCTGCAAGTCTAAAATGCTTCCAAGATATTTAACATCAGGAACCTGCTGCAAGTCTAAAATGATTCCAACATATTTAACATCAGGAACCTGCTGCAAATCTAAAATGCTTCCAAGATATTTAACATCAGGAACCTGCTGAGTCTAAAATGCTTCCAAGATATTTAACATCAGGAACCTGCTGAGTCTAAAATGCTTCCAAGATATTTAACATCAGGAACCTGCTGAGTCTAAAATGCTTCCAATATATTTAACATCAGGAACCTGCTGAGTCTAAAATGCTTCCAAGATATTTAACATCAGGAACCTGCTGAGTCTAAAATGCTTCCAAGATATTTAACATCAGGAACCTGCTGCAAGTCTAAAATGCTTCCAAGATATTTAACATCAGGAACCTGCTGAGTCTAAAATGCTTCCAAGATATTTAACATCAGGAACCTGCTTTGTAAGTCATTAAATGCTTCCAAGATATTAACACCAGGAACCTGCTGAGTCTAAAATGCTTCCAAGATATTTAACATCAGGAACCTGCTGAGTCTTAAAATGCTTCCAAGATATTTAACATCAGGAACCTGCTGCGTCTAAATGCTTCCAATATATTTAACATCAGGAACCTGCTGCAAGTCTAAAATGCTTCCAAGATATTTAACATCAGGAACCTGCTGAGTCTAAAATGCTTCCAAGATACTTTACATCAGTGAACCTGCTGAGTCTAAAATGCTTCCAAGATATTTAACATCAGGAACCTGCCTGCAAGTCTAAAATGCTTCCAAGATATTTACATCAGGAACCTGCTGAGTCTAAAAAGCTTCCAAGATATTTAACATCAGGAACCTGCTGAGTCTAAAATGCTTCCAAGATATTTAACATCAGGAACCTGCTGAGTCTAAAATGCTTCCAAGATATTACAACACAGGAACCTGCTGCAAGTCTAAAATGCTTCCAAGATATTTAACATCAGGAACCTGCTGCAAGTTCTAAAATGCCAAAAAGCTTCCAAGATATTTAACATCAGGAACCTGCTGCAAGTCTAAAATGCTTTCAAGATATTTAACATCAGGAACCTGCTGAGTCTAAAATGCTTCCAAATATTTAACATCAGGAACCGCTGAGTCTAAATGCTTTCCAAGATATTTAACATCAGGAACCCCGCTGCAAGCTAAAATGCTTCCAAGATATTTAACATCAGAACCTGCTGCAAGTCAAATGCTTCCAAGATATTAACATCAGGAACCTGCCCGAGTCTAAAATGCTTCCAAGATATTTTAAAATCAGGAACCTGCTGAGTCTAAAATTCTTCCAAGATATTTAACATCAGAACCTGCTGGCCCAAGTCTAAAATGCTTCCAAATATTTAACATCAGGGAAACCCGCCTGCAAGTCTAAAATGCTTCCAAGATATTTAACATCAGGGAAACCCGCTGAGTCTAAAATGCTTCCAAGATATTTAACATCAGGAACCTGCTGAGTCTAAAATGCTTCCAAGATATTTAACATCAGGAACCTGCTGAGTCTAAAATGCTTCCAAGATATTTAACATCAGGAACCTGCTGAGTCTAAAATGCTTCCAAGATATTTAACATCAGGAACCTGCTGAGTCTAAAATGCGATGTTAGTACTCCAAACCGGTGTCGAATACAGTCTTGACTCGGACAGTGAGGACTGATTTCTTCCTGAGGCCAGCCGAGACCAGCGGAGTAATAAACAAATAATTATCAGCTTCCATTCAGTCAGCGCATGAAACCTCTTCACCAGGCCAAATATATACACTCCTTTCTTGAAACATTAATATCTTAACAGCCTTTATATCTATTATAGACATGTTTGCACATCGGCGAACCGATAGGGCAGGGATCATCAACTAGATCCAGCCACTGGCCGATTTATTTATTGAGCGGATGGTCGGGGGGCCGGAACATAATTACAAATAATTTGTAGACTGCAAATGAACCGCAAGAAGCCCAAACAGATAGAATGTTTGACAAAAATATAATCATTTCAAACCTTGCTTACATTTGTATACTATCACGTGTCTCTCTGTTATGCGTGGGAAATTATAATCACTTGGAGCTGGTTTCCTGGTGTCCAACAATGACAGGCCGCCAGTTGGGAAACCGTGCTATAGGCTATAGGCTATAGAAACCGTGCTATAGGCTATAGGCTATAGAAACCGTGCTATAGGCTATAGGCTATAGAAACCGTGCTATAGGCTATAGGCTATAGAAACCGTGCTATAGGCTATAGGCTATAGAAACCGTGCTATAGGCTATAGAAACCGTGCTATAGGCTATATGCTATAGAAACCGTGCTATAGGCCTTCAGTGTGTGACAGGTTCGTGATTCTGAAAGGACAGCAACCATAATACTA